TCTGAGTGTTTCCATAGGGTAAGCTCTTACTGGAGTGGAAAGATGATGAACTGTATCAGAGATCTCTGGAGAAGCTTACCTGAGAGCTGGTGGGTCTGTAATTCCTAAGGTGGCAGCATGAAACTCAGCTGTAGTTTGATAGTGCAGTCTCGAAGCAGAATCTCTTTAGGAATGCCTATTTTTGTTTTTACGAGTCTTTTAGCTTCCAAGTTACAGAGAATAATAAGTCAAATGTTGTGTGTGTTCTCCCCATGAACCGAGCGTTTTTTGCAGTGGCACTTAAAGGATGGATGGAGTTTATCTGGTCACTCTGAACCAGGACTGTGGTAAACAACTGAGCTTTTGGTCCATAGGAAGCCAGGCCAGTACTTATGAGCACAGCTCAGGTCCCTCACTTTGGCAGGAGAGCAAGGACAGGTAGGTTTCTAAACTCTAGCCAGTTCTATTAATTTTACTGGTTAGCAGTCCTTGGAGTGAGATTGCAGCATTCTGGCGTTTGTCACAGCTATCAGGGACGCTCAGTAGTAAGTTCTGGGTTCCTTATTATCGTTATAACTGGGTTGTATGAAAAATATCCTGAAATTTGCCTTACAAAATAGATGCATACATGCTCATGTGTGCACACACGTATACACACACAGCCAGGGAGTAAAGCACTTTCTCAGTGTTTTGCACATTATTGTAGATACAGTGACCCAGCTCTTCTGGAGTTGATCCTGTCACTGCTGGATTCTGCTCACCTTGATATTCTGCTAGCAGTTGGCAGTATTCTGACAGGACAGCCCTCAGTGCTCAGGGAATCCCTGTTTTCTGTCTGTGATTCTTCTTGCCGGGTGATGAATGACTGGACTGTGTTGCTGACCTAAACATTTGAATCATAGCATCAGGTATTAAATGGATTATATTACTCTCTGATTTTAGGTAAGTATGATATCTTTATCATTGACATGATTTTCTCTTATCATTTATCAATCTCTAAAAATTGATAATTTCCAAGGTTGAGTTCAGAACCACAAACCATTGAAATAGTGAAAAGTTTCTGCCCTGAAGAAGGAAGCTTTACTTCTTTGATGCATCCTCTCTGATGTCTGTGGGGATGTTTCAGGACTCCTTGTAGATGTCTAAAGATCTTGCATGTAAGTAAGCTGTGGACATCCTCTCCCACCCTTTAGGTGGCCTTGGTTACTCTTGTGTAGTACACTGTAATGCTGTCATGTGCAGGGAGTGATGCCCTACATTCTCTTGAGAATGGGCGTGGTTTCTTTTCCTCAGATATTTTTGATCTAAGGTTTGAGGCCACAGATGTGTGACCCATAGATGCAGATGGCTCAGTCTCTGTGTATAAGTTATATGCAAATAGATGTTTGTGTCCATCTGTATTTTCCTTCTTTAAGAAAAATAAGATGTGGCTGGAGATATGATTCAGTGGTTAAGAGCTCTGGCTGCCCTTCCAGAGGACCTGGGTCAGTTCCCAGTACCCACACGGTAGCTCACAGCCGTCCGTAACTGCACTTCCAGGAGATATGATGTCCTCTGCACTCAGTAGGCACATTCACACATACATGTGGACTAAACACTCTTACATAAAAAATTAGCTAAAAATAAGAAAACCAGAGAGAGCTGGGCATTATGGCATGTCTGTATCTCAGCACTGAGGAAGTGGAGGTGGCAGATTGAGTTGAAGGTTGTCTTCAGCCTCTAGTGCAAATGCAAGGCTAACCTGGGCTATGCTAGACCCTGTCTTAACAGACACACAAAAAACTTAATATAGTTAGTGTATTCATGTTTTGTTATTGAGGTATATGCATTGATTTTGAAAATTTAAAGAGTAAATCACCTTTGCATTCCTGGAGTAAATAAAATTTAGTTGAGAGGCCATATTGTTTTGATATGTGCCTGTATTTATTATTAATTTAAGGTTTTTACTTTTGTGTTTTCTTTTGAGACAAGGTTGGCACAGATTGGTCTCCAGCTCATTGATGTTCCTCTTGCTTCAGCTTCTTGGCTGTTAGGATTACAGTGTTGTGCTGTCAGAAGAGACCTTGCTGTGCTGTGTTCCTTTTGTAATGTCTTGCTGAGCTTTAACATGAGCCTGGGAGATGGTTCTTTTCTATTTGGAAGTATTCCTAATGATACACGTATGAGGCTGAGCTTTTATTCTCTTTGTTGTGGTCTTCTTTTCCTTCATTCCCTTTTCTTTTTCTAATACATTAAACTTATTTTACTTAGATATCCTTTACTATGTATTGGCAAAGGCAGTCTCCTATGCAATCTTACTGCCTTTTCTCATTTTACAAGAATTGGCGTGGGCCTGACATACTTTACGCAGACCGCCTGTGCTGAACTTGTCACTGCATGTGGTAATCTAGCCATTCAGAATCAGTCTGTGCTCCTTTGTTTTGTTTAAGCATGCATGGGATATATCACCGTGCCAACTTCTAGGGGGATAGATACAACCTACTTAAGTGTGTCTTCTTTTGGGAGGTTGACATGTGCTTCTGTTGAGCACAGGGGTATGTGCAAGCCCACTGTGTGTACCCGCTGCTAGGAGGCACCTGCTCAGCATGGGGCCGATGGCCACTGTGGAAACTTGTACTGCTGTGTCTCCTCTCTGAACTAAGTGTTGTTCCACTCAGAGCCTGGCTGCTCATTGTGCTTCTGTGGTGATTCCAGTGCCAGGAGAGAGTGGGCTAACACACTCTACTCCTGACGATGGGAGAACATGCCGCTCGCTTGACAGTTTATTACTATGTAGTCTGACTTCTTTCTTTCTTTTTTTGTTCTTGCTTTTTTTTGTTTGTTTGTCTTTCTTTTTTACTTTTATTTTGAGACAGGGCTGCTTTGTGTAGCTCTGCCTGTCTGGAACTAACTTTGTAGACCAGGCTGGCTTTGAACTGAGTGCTGGGATTAAAAGCGTGCACCACCACATCTGGCCTGACATGTTTCTTAATTCCCATCCAGTTTATGTCTTCCTCTCATAGACAGTTTAGATGCATGCTCATTGGATTCCTTTCTAATGGACTTGTTATTTCTAAAAGAGTTAAACATTGTGATTAAAAATAACAATTCACTGTTTATTACTTGGAGGTGTTTGTGCGCGCATTTTGCTGCTGTGTAGCTCAGATCCCCTGTTTGAGAAAGTGTTCTTGAATCTTAAGCTTTTGGCATCACTGAGGTCTTCTTTATAATCACCTCAGTCAGTAAGCTCATGTAGCTTTGGAGAGGAGGAGGTGTGTCCAGTTGAAGGTGGTAAGTGTCCTAGAGTGTCCTAGATTGTCCTTGACCACTTACATGCAATTATTTTTCTTTATTTTTTTGAAAATCAGGGCTTGAGTGCTATGCTCATTCTTAACAATTACTAAGGTGTTTTAGATACATACATAGGTACATATATATATACACATACACATACATACATACATATATTTTTTTAATAATTTATTTTTATTTTATGTGCATTGGTATTTAGCCAGCATGTGTGGCTGTGTAAGGGTGTCAGATCTTGGAGTTACAGACAGTTGTGAGCTGCCATATGGGTGCTGGGAATTGAACTCAGGTCCTTTGGAAGAACAGTCAGTGCTCTTAACCACTGAGCCATCTCTGCAGCCCCCATTTTTTTTTTTTTTTTTTTGAGACAAATTTTTTTCTGTGTAGCCTTGGCTGTCCTGCAACTCACTTAGTAGACCAGGCTGTCTGTGAACTCACAGTGACCGACCCGCCTCTGCCTCCTGAGTGCTGGGATTAAAGGTGATATATATTTATATTTAAAGGTATTGGTACCTACAGATATCTAAATCTTGGTAAACTTAGATTTTTTAAAAAGATCTATCTGTCTATCTATCTATCTATCTATCTATCTATCTATCTATCTATCTATCTATCTATC